TTTTAAAATTGGTAATCATTTTTTGAAAATAGTTAACTATCTAACTATGTTCTGAGATGTTTCTAAAATAGTTAACTATGTTATGTTATCAAATAATTAACTCTTACAACATATTTATTTTATTTTGTCATCTTCTTATCAATTGTGCAAAAGACTGATCTATTTTTTGTAGATGCACAATTGCAGGAGCAATTTATCCAAAGATGAAATAAAAAGATTTTAGATATTTTTAATATATATATCAAGATTTAATATAAATTTTTAAGGGTAATTTCGTCAAATTTTTAGTTCTCTTTCTTAGTTATCTAAATATATTTTAGGGTATGTTACGTACCTAATTATAGGTTACAAAAGTAATATTAAACTAATTAACCCAAAAAAGAATTTTATTTAGGGTATGTTACTTACCTAATTATAGGTTACAAAAGTAATATTAAGTTAACTAACTCAAAAAAGAATTCTATCTTTACCGGCAAACCTTATGATAACGTGTTATTGATTTTGCGATCTTAGGAGTACATCTTTATAACAAAAAATGGAGGAGAACAAAAGAAGTCGGAGTTATCGAACTTCAAAGAGACACTTTTCCATAGATACTCTCGTACATATGGAAGGCAAGAAACCAATTAGTTTTTTAATGGGAAAGAGATTTTTTCGAATGACACACTCCAAATCGATACTAGAAACTGAAAATTGGAACATAGTAAACCAACCTGACAAAGAGAAAGAGACAGAGGATTCACAATCACATAGTGGACCAGGAGGACTACTTGGGGAACCTCAAATTCTTATATGTCAAATCAATGCTTCTTAGATTGATCATGGACTGCGGTGTGGACAGTTTTTCTAGGACAACATGGATCATACCACACTAGGAGCGAGAGCGTGCTATACGAGCATATCGACACTACACGCACAACTGGACATGCTACTTTGGGAGATGTACTTTGGAGAAAGGCGAGTTGTTGCGGTTAGGTTCGAGACAGACTACACAAACATAATAGAAATGATGGAGAAAGACGAGTTATTGCGGTTAGGTTTGAAACTTGTAGCGATTGTGTCGGGTGAGTCCAACACGTCCTCGTTCCAAAAATAATGCCGAGTCAATTCGTGGTTGGAATCTTTTTGGTTAAGCTTGAAAACGTGAAAATCTAGTTCATATGTCTTTTCAGGTGGATTTGTCGTTGGTGTGGACAATGGGATATTCATGTATATAGTTGTTACGATGCATCAGTTGGTACTTGTCTTGGTAGAGTTGAACTTCCGCTGGTTCCCTTTAGGTTTGGATCCCCTTGAATGGTACTCCGTACTCCTCCGGTTTTGGCATCACTTTTATGCCACACTCAGCTACTAGTACGATATTTGCATCATGTATGCATTGCCATTATCGAGCATCGAAATCACGAATGAAACACATGGCCTATCGTTCAAGAGATCTTGGACGCATAATAAACCAATGTGCACACATCTACATATTTCATTCTCAAAAGCTTTGCCGTACATTCAATGGTTTGCAAGAGTGGTGGCCTCGTAAATTCCACGACTAAGAAATAGAGAGATAATGTCAAAATCTTAAGAGCAAGTATTTAATGTAGTCCAGGACAACCTTTTCAAAAAAAAAATGTAGTTCAGGACACTGTGGTCAAGTGGTAAGGAGACAGGACTGGGACACCAACACGTTCCAGGTTCGATCCACCTGCTACGCGAAACTAACTCACATTATCCTGGACACCCACATGGATATGGACCCTTGCTTTCGAATATCCGGAGAGAGGGTCTATCCATGGGCTGCATCTCCCCTAGGGATTAGTCTGAGCCCTTTGGCCTAGGATTTACCCTGAATTATCCAAAAAAAGTATTTAATGTAAAATATGTTTAAGTTGTTACGTATACTTTTATAATATAAAATATTCAAATTGTTGGCACCATTATAAAAGCTTGAGTTTCTTCTTCCGCTCACAATCTCTAATAATATGACTAAGGCTACAAACATCTATTTTTCTAAGAATAAACCCTTCATTGGATACTCCGGTTACACAAAGCCGCTACAAAATATAGTGTTATATATGAATCAAACACCTTCCTTTGTGCAAGATCTCACATTCTCTCTC